ATATGGCAAACCATACTACCGTAGCGTAGTTTCGTCTTCTTGAAATCAAAGATCGTTCACATCAACATCCTCCAAAAGTCATTAATCTCGGCTCTATAGCGTTCTTCATTGATTTAACATGACGACTGGCTTTATGTCTGAAGAAATTTGTACCAATGATTTCCTCTGCCCAGAGAGCACACAAAACAATGACTTTTGAATGAACGAACAAATGGTAAACACTCGGCGCAAGGTCCGGGATATTGAAACCTCCCAACCAAGTTTTTGGCGCTTTTGGCGAGTCACTATCAATGTGTGTGGTGTGGCTATGTCCTGATGAAATACAATTCCTCTCTGTTGGTCAAAGCTAAGCGCTACTGAGCGATTGTTTCCTTCCATATAGATCCGAATTAAGAGTCTGAACGTAGGGAAACAGTTCATAGTGAATGATGCATTTCTTGCCAATACCACTAAACTCACAAAGAAACCTTCATGTTCGTTACTCCTGGCGTGTTTCTTTTTTATTTTAGACGACTATTAATTGTTATTATTCTATGTTACATTGCATTTATGAAATACAATAATTATTTCATTTAGGCAAATATACTCTATCGAACCTCTAGAATTTACCACCCATGCCACTAATGGTTTCATAAATTGTTATTAAGGTGATGTTGTCTACACTGACTTTAGTAAAGCATTTGATAAGGCCTCTCATTCTTTACTTCACTTTAAACTCGATTATTTCGGGTTTCTTTCTTCCTTTCTCAAGTGTTTTTCATCATCATATTAGAACAAAAAGTGATTTTTAATGATGTACATCACATGAAATAGCGGTAATATTTGCTGTTCATCAAGGCATTCACCTCGACCCCTTACGTTTACGCGATTATAGCCGATTTAACAACATTGCGCCGTTCGTTTCTTCTATTTGCTTTTTGACGCCAATTGGAAATACCAAGTACAGCCAGTCCTTTTCTACCTGGTTTTTCCATGGAGTGGAGGTCTTCCCCTTCCTCTGCTTTCACCGGCGGGTACTGCATCGAAAACTTTCAAAGCTAAAGCTATTCGTATCCATCGGGGCTACATGACCTAGCCAGCGACCTCGACCCCTTACTCTTCCTTATATTCCTTATATACCAATGACCTTCCAAATGTCTTCATTCTAAAGCACTCATGCACGCAGATGATGTCAAGCTGTTTGTATCAGAGGAAGAGCTTAGCTCTATCGTCCTGAATAATTTAGTTAGTTTTTTTTTCATATTTCGGTAAATTAAACCTTTAAAAATAACATATTAAAATATCAAATCGATATCTCAAATAGTTTTTGAGTTATAGCAACTTACAGAGCAGCCGCTCGGCAGCTAGAGAGTCTCATTAGTGAAAACGATCATTTTATCTTTAAACGCGTTTTTCTCGAAACAGCATTTTCCGAATTTGCTGCAGTGATTACTCAAAAACAAATGATCCGATCACTATCGAATTTTTTTACATGTTCTATATGTAGTTCTCCGTATAATGACCTATCGATTTTCGATCTGATCAAAAAACCGAATTTTGACAGGCCAAAACGACCAAAATTTTGGGTAAAATTCGTCTATTTTTTTTTTAAACGCCGCCATTTTGTCAATTTTTAGATTTTTTTTTCGTAGGTCGTTGTACAATAACGGGAATTTTTTTTTGTTTCATCCACGGCGAAGGCCGGAATCACTGCAGCAGTGAAGAACCTTTTTTTCGCGCCGTTGGCGATTGACTTAAAACTAAAGTAACTTAAAAAATATTTAATTTTTTTGTTCAAAAATTTTACTGTATATTCTTAAAACATGTAAAAATATATTCTCAAAAATTTGAAATAATTGATAAAGTTTTTTTTTTTAATAATAATTCCCAAAAATCACCTTTATTTAGGCCATTACACTAGGTGTGCCCCTTAATACACATTTCACCTACATTGATTCCTCAGAATGTTTTTCTGTATCAAAAACTCTCTTTTTCCCATGTAATTCATAGCAGCAGACCTTCCGCGATCGATCCCGGGCTCAGAACAATCGGCTGAGCGTGAGCTTGGTAAAGCTGAATCCATCGTAAAAAAAAAAAACAAAAATAAACCATCCGTTAAAACTACACAGTTTTTTTTTTTTGATAGATTCAAGCGACACAAAAAAATTAAAATCGTATTATTAATGCCAGATTTAGTTACGGTTACACATTTTGTATTTAATTTTTATAGCTCAAATATTTATTATGTGGGGTTAGATTTGGCCTCAGAAAAGTGGTCGGCGTTGTATAGAAAGAGCGGCAACAAATACTTCCAATCGGGGTAGAGCCTTGAAACATTGTATACAATTTTCTTTTTATGATCACAAAATGATATGTAAAAATCTGCTAGATCGGACTACTATATCATATAGCTGCCATAGAACGATCGGTCTTAAATCAACTAAATGAATCCATTTTAGTGAAATCTTACGTGCATGCTTAAGTATAAATACTTCAATGTTTTTGCTTCGCGCTTCTGCAGCATCTTCAGAAAGCCTTTCAATTAAAACTGAACATTTGTTTTATAATACCAGGAGCGGGAACTGATATTTTAAGAACGGGAAAAGGATGGTAGTGCCATGAATATAAGTCAACCAGACTTTTTGCCGTTTTTAATAGTTAGTCTTCCCTTCTTCTGGTTTTATAGTTCCTTGTCAAGGCCTCTTATATCTGTAAAAAAAACTAGCTTAGTAAAAAATTTTCTTGCCGTATTACCGTCATTAGATGTTCGCTTCCTCCGGCCTTAGGTTTATCTACTATAAAACTCATTTTCTGCTGTAACTCAGACTGAATCGAATTTTAGCGATTTAAAAAGGAAACAGACCAAAATCATATCGTTCCTCATTAACTTTTCTAAGGATGCATTCCTCCAAATTATTAATCTGCTTTGGGCATCAAAGAATAAAGTTGTGCATTCGGGACCAGGCGCCAATTGTGTCTTTCAGTGCAAATTAATAAATTAATAGTATAAAAAAAGGCTAATAACAAAACAAATAGTTTGCACAAAAATTTACAACTAAACGTTTTTAACTTGGGTGAAAGGTCAAACGGGCATTGAATGTAATGAGATAGCTGATGAAAGAGGATGTCCATTTAGCACAGAATGTAGCAACGTATATCCCAGTCCCATCGAAGGAAGTGAAACAGAAGGAAGAAATAATACATTAAGACCAGAAAATTTCCAGAAATTGTCATTTAAACTGACCGTGCTAAATGTTTTTCAACACTTTTTTTTTGTTAAGTTGATAGCACTATCCTTAAGTACTATACCAAAAATGAGCGCGATCTGTCAAGCAGTTTGCTTGCGGCAGCTGTTGAAATCAGACCGCTTCAGTTCCCTCTGCGAATTTTCTTTACGGCTTTAATTGAGTCGGAACGGGTTCTACGAAGTGGTAACTTGAGTTTTGGAAACAAAAAAGTCGCCAGGGGCCGAATCCGATGAATACGTATTGAACTAGTTTTTGGTTTTAAAATCGTTCACAACTACAGCTCGGTGCGATGGCGCATTATCGTCATGAAAGTTTCCAGAAATTGTTGGCCCACAATTCCGACCGTTTACGCCGGATGTTTTTGTCGCAAACGCCTCAAAACGCTTAAATAATATTCTTTACCGACCGTCTGTCCTGTTGGAATGAACCAAACCGCGAATATCGAAAAAAAAAATTTTTCAGAAACTTTCGTCAGTCGAATAAACTCTGACAACGAGCTAAGGGCTGCAGATACTCACAAAGTTTTTACTATCTGTTAAGAGACTGGACTCCAGGCTGTTGATATGACTATTAACGGAGCCTTGCTTCTGGCGTCTAATGCGTTTAAGATAGGTCTGAGTGCGGAAAATAAGTGTAGGGAAAGCAAAGAACACGTATTCTGTGAATGTACGGCTTTTCGAAGACAAAGGCTATGCGCAGAGAGGCCACAAGATCTTCAATAAGCAATGACCCTGGAGCCAGAATGATGACTTAATTTCGCGAAAAGTACAGCAATGTTCTTCGCACTAGAGGCACAATAGCAGTGTAGCCGTACAGTTTGGTCGTATGTAGGGTGCCTGCCATCACTATGGATATATTTCGTCTTTGTGAGACCTACTGGTTCAGCCAGCTTAACCAGACCTAAACTAGGCTTTGATAAATTTGACGCAACAACTGTGCGTAGTGTCAGTGCTCAAACGCAACTTCTACAGTCTTGCTAATGTTTAACACTTAGATGCCATTTATAGCTTTCATCTGCCTAAAAGTATGCAATGATGTTTGGTATATTGCACGATTTAATCGTTAAATATTCGTCAAAAGCGACCAAACACTAATTCAACTCATTCACCTACATTTATACAAAGGTAAAGCTGCATGTGTTTGTGCCTTTAAACAGTTATGCAAATACAAACAGAGATGTTTATCTATCATTTCGCAATCAAAATTGAAAGTGTTTTATATTTTGTGTAAACCAAAACTACCAAATAAACATTTGTGCAAATTAGTAAATATGTATGTATATTTGTTGAGCTGATTTAATTGCACAACTGTCAACAAAAAAAAAAAATTGTTTTAATTCTAACGATATCATCAAGATCAGTTTGCTTATGCTACATAAATTTTTTTTTCCGTTTGTATCGTTTTTTTTTTTTGTGACGGCTTATTTCAACAATTTGAGTTTTCAACCTTGAAAGAACAAAAGTTTTTCACACACTGCAATTCATTGTCGGCGAACAGACATAACATTTATACATACATTTATTATAAAATCTAAAAATAAATAAGCTTATACGCTAAATAATTTCCATTTAAGTTTCCTAGTTTTTTTTTTTTTAAATGAATATAAAATTTAAATTTGCAGTTTAGCGAACTGCATTGAAATACTTTTATGCCTTTTGCGTTTTAAAACTTTTATAATGATTTAAAAATTTATAAAATTTTCTCTCTCTCTTGCTATTTTCCTTCAATTCAATTCCTTTTTGGCTTTTGGGGCTTTTTTTTTTTTTTTTTTTTTTTTTTTTTTTTTTTGTTTAGTTTGGCTTGCTTTCAATTTAGTGCCGCTGCTATTGTCTTCATAAATTCGTATACCTCTTCGCCCGATTCCACAATGTAATGCGGCGGCATCAAGTAGCCATAGCGCCCTTGGTCCTTCAGAAATACATTGTAAACGTATTGTGGATTAATGCGCTGCTGCACCCAATCGGCCGAGTTGCCAGCGCGTGCCAATTTCAGTCGATAGCTAGTACCCACACGGTACTCGGCTTGGTTCAATTTGCGGAAATTCTAAAAAAAAAAGAGAAAGAAAAAAGAACAAATAATTGTAAAATAATGGCCGCAAGGAAAACCTTACACAGAAAACAACCAACAGCAAAGTCAGTAAGGAAACAATGAACAAGAATTTCTAGTGGTTGGTAAATTGATTTTCTTGTGTGTTTTTGGTGCTTACATATTTATAGGCATGCATACATATTTATATATATATATATAGATATGTATATGTATATATGAATGCCCACTTTGTAACTTACCAACATTGCACGTCGCGCTACATTGTGCAGTCTCCGTTGATTATCCGTCACATAGTCAGCATCACCCCATGGATAGGTGATTGCCTGCCCGTAAGCGCCGAAAGAAATGTATGCACCTAAAAATTCACGCATATTATGCATGAAAGTTCTTATCGCCTTCGTTTCCGGTTCGGAGAATTTTTTCGGTCCTCTATATAGATTTTTGCATGGATTTTCAGATGAACCCGCTCCGCCCCACTGATAATCATAGTTGCGATTCAAATTGACGCCATAACAACCTGTCGTACTGTCAAAGTAACGATTCTTTACCCAAAGACGGTCTGTGATGCGTGAATATTGATAGCCATCGGGATTCGCCACTGGTAGGAAGTACCAATCAATATTGCGCATAGCAGCTGGCGCTTGCTCCCACAGCCAGGTGAGTTTAGAAATGGCAGAAGTAAGTGCGGCAGGACTGAGCCAATCGCGTGCTTGCATACCAGCATCTATAAAAACCGCCCAATTCTTCGGATTGCCATTGGAGATGCTGGAAGGCAGAAATATTTCACAATTTTAATTCTTAATTCCTACTCTCACACATTTTCCACACTCACCGCAACACTTCTAATGGTCGTTTGTGATGCGTCACACCAATTTGGACGATCTCCGCCAAATCCGGATAGGTTTCTAAAATGTGTTGTAAAAATTGCTGAATGTCACCAATATCATGGTAACGATTCCAGTTCAGGATCGTATCTGTAAGAATTAAAAAAAAGGTTGTGCTATTTTCGTTAAGAATTATGTTAAGACCGCATTAAGCTACCCCAAATTTGACTTACCATCTCTATCCAACCACGGCATATTTGAATTACTGTTATTCACTTCCGTATATGTCTCATCGATAGCCGTTTCGATATCTTCGATCATAATGTTGTAGGTGAAATCAGTTTTTTCTATGAAATCTTTGGCTTTTGCGGTATTTCTATAATCAATTAAAACATCAATTCCGTCTTGATTTATATTCCACACTTCAGTGCCTAAAAAGAAGAGAAAATTTAAATAGCGCAAGCGTAAAATGAATAATCTATATATATTGTATGTATACAGGGTATTGGAAGAGAAATTGTATAAATTGGAGAGTTGTTATTTTGATATTCAAGGAAAAATTTCTCTCTTTTGAGTTAAATCGGATCGGATGTTTATTTCAATGTTGCTTTTCAACAATAAACTTTGTGCTTTCCGAGCACCAGGTTCGACAGTGTCGTTTATTGATGTGAAAATGACCTCAAGTTGATTTTTGAATTAAATTCCGGATCCTTTTCGTTCAATTCAAGAACCCAATCAGCAAAGGCACGACGTGGTTGTTGATCCGGCTTGAGTTCTGGTGTTAACTGAACTTTATAAGCCTTAAGACCAAAGTCTTTATGCAAAACACGATGTAATGATGTTTGTGGAATGTCACGAGCATGGGTATATTCTTTATAATATTTTATAATGTGGTACTTAATATTTTGCATTAGTTGAAGTGTAATTAGGACTTCTTTACTTCTTTACAAATCACCTCCTTTAAAATACCAATTTATTTATAATTGTCGCTTTATACCTCCTTCTACAGTTTGTGGTGAGCAATTTCATGTTTTTCCAACAAATTGAGTGACCTACATTTTATACTAAGCTGCCTCCTTTGTCCTTGGAGTTTATTTTTGATAAACAACCTTTATAGGTAGGCCAGATCAACAAAATGGTTTTTAGGTCTAACCCACAAAAAAAAATTTGTTAAAAATAATAAAAAATGGTTTTGAAATCTTGTGCATGTCATTCGAACACTTTAAGACTGCAACATTTAAATCACTTTCAAATTAATTCCAGCGTAGGCATTGTCGAAATCATACCGAACTCATACACAAGAAATGTTCACAAAATTGCAGCTTAGAGAACTTGCTTTTTTATACGAGTAAATATAAAAATTCAAAGCACACAAAGCATAAACTAAAGAATCTAAGTTATTATTCATACGTACAGGGTGCTCCAACTTTTATGTCGTTATGTAAATGTTGAATAACTTTCACATTTACCAACCGAGCGATTAAATCAGATATGTTTTGGAAATGTCAATTCAGCACAATTTTTGCCATGGATCGCTTCACAGCGAAAGAACGCGCTGAAATAGTGACACTTTACATCGAAAACAGTCGTTTCAATGTGTTAACTCAACGCGAAGAAATATCGCGACAAAAAGGCACCATCTGACAATACTAATCGTTGTTTCGTCCCGGACTTCTTTTTGTGGGGTTATCTGAAAAGCAAGGTTAACGCCAACCAGCCTCAAACTATTGCTGAGCTCAAGGCAAGCATTCGTGCTGAAATCGACGCTATAACACCCGAGATGCTCAGAAAGGTAATGGCAAACGCTGAAAAATGGAGTCATTTTGTAATAGCTAATAAAGGTATCCACTCGTTTGATATTATTTTCAAAAACTAGTCCAAAAAAATTGTAAGGAACCAAACTGAATAAAAATACATCACTTGTAGAAATCGGTTGTTTTTTCTCAAAGTTGGAGCACCCTGTACATACATATGTAGATTCAAATAAATATTTACATTGAAAATCAACTTAATCGGAAGAAAATATTATATAGCTTCCAACAACCCAGTTCAAATAACAACAAAACAAGTATATGCTTATAAAAGGTAAATATGTACATACACATGTATATGTAATGTTATTAGGTCTGGTAAAAAGTCCAAAGAAGAAGGCTTTATTAACACATTGACGGACAGTAGGAACAAGTAAAGTTCGAAAATTGACACTATGTGTTTTTGTAATTTTTAGAATATTTAAAGTATAGTTTTACTATTTCTGCTTAAATAAACTTAATTTTGAATAATTCAGCACCTTTAATTAGGTTGCGGCCATAACCGTCATGGCGCCAGCGCACTCTAGACTTGAAGTAATGGGACGATGGCAGCTATAACAGCACAAATTTAAAAACGTAAATGACAAGCTTAATGATTCAAATCAGCAATTATTTGTGCGCAAAAAAGTATTTTTGGGAGTTTTACACGAAATGTTAGTTTATAATCAAACAAAAATAAATAAACGACAAAAAATTTATTATAATTTTATAATAATTACATATTATTTTCTGTATGCCATGTTTCAAAAAAATTGTTTCCAAAACACGACAATAGGCTTCTACTTGTACGCCGGTAAATGCACATTTGTGCTGCGATCGCCGCAGTGTCTGTAAACGACCGTTTCGTTTTAGACGGCTATCGCCGTCATGCCACATAGTGAACTTCGCTTTGACGGCTATAGACGCAAGTGTCCGTCAACGTGTTAACTATAGTTTCGATTAACCGTTTCGCTCGATAACTTTTTGCGATTTTTAATGTCGTTTTGCCTCTCTTATGGACACCCTTGTACCTACTGGCAAAAATTGAGACAATTGATTTTTCACAAGCTTCTCTTAAGGCCAATTCTTCACTAACAAAATCATTCGCTTTAGACAGGAACACTACGTGCGAGGTGCGAACCATAAAGTGGATGTATAAAAATTTCCCAACCAAGCAGTTGGAGCTACTGACGAGACACTATCGATGTGTGTTGTTGTGATGAAACACAACTCTCCTCCTGTTGGCCAAAGCTGGGCGCTTTTGAGCGACTGCTTCCTTCAGACGGTCCAAATGCTGATATTACAGGTTCGAAGTGAGAGTTTGACCGTATGGGAACATACCATGCCAATCCAATGAAACACACAACAGAACCTTGCTGGGCGTCGATACCGGCTTGAAGAACGTTTGTGGCGGCTCACTGCCATTCCAACACGACCGTTTTCGTTTGACGTTATTCACTTTTTATCACCACTTATCTTATGCTTCAGAAATGGGTCGATTTTGCTACAATTCAGCAGTGATTCGCAGATGGTTATTCGGTTCGTAGGTTTTTTTTTTGTTAACTCTTGTAGCATCCCCATAAATAGAGTTTTTTTGTGAAATTATTCAGACATTTTCAAGTGCTTGCAAACTGATTTTTCGCAATGTTATCGACATTTTCGACACAGGACCTTTCATACTGTGTAGCATCTTTTAAATCAATAATACCGGAACGAAATCGACGAAACCACAATTGTGCGGGATTGATTGTTGCAGTAACAGGACCATAAACACTATTCAAGTTTCCAACTTTATCGAAGAAAAATTGTAATACAATAAAATATATTTGCTCTTTGCTGGTAACCCATTTTTACACACGCTCAAATACTACTGAGTTAAGTGATTAACAATGTCATTATCTTTTTTGGTACAAAATATCATCTTTCAATTCAATCGCACTCATAAAACGCGAGATATAGATCACTTAAGACATCCATTGCTAAAATAGTGGTTTACTTTTTACTAGTGCACACTGAACTTCTTCTATTTTCCAAACTCTACATTTTTGTTATTCTAAAGTTTTAGGTAATATTGGAGACGACATAAAAATAATTTCAAAACAGTTACAGTCGCATACATTTTACTAACCGAAATGCTTCCAAAATGTTCTAAGCTCTTTGTTTTCAATATCGTTTTCATGTATTTTCCACAATTGATAACCGTAGTAACGCTTCACTGAGCTACTATTACGAAATCGCAGATTAATCTGATATGAGGATTGTGGTGAGAAAACATTCAGTTGACGTATATCCATTGGCATCAGCCATTGCAAACTCTCCACTGTATTGTCGTATAATTCATCACTCGAAATGAAGACCGTAGGAAAACCGGGAATGCTGCGCAGTAGTAGAAATTTCGTATGATTCGTATGATGAGCCCGACAATTTGGCGTCGGTAAATTTAGCAATAAAAGCAATGGTATAATTAAAATCAAATATTGTTGCAAATGTTTTACTGCTAGCATAATGCGAGCTGTAAGTGGCGATGTAATTTTAAAAATTTTTCTAAAAAATCTTCTATTTTCGCTTACAGAACCAACGTTCACGCGTTGAAATTTGCTACTAAATCAATGAATTCGATTCGCAGAGAGATTTAGCATTAAACTGTATTTTATTTCAGTTCAAAAGAGCAACAAAATATCTAGGTATTTTCATTTTGTTTAAGAAATTATGTTTTGATTTATGTAAATTTTATGCAAGAACACCGGTTAACGGGTTTCCATGTCATTTCAAAGGCCACAAAACGAGTGCCTAAAGGCGCATAATTTTAGCAAAATAAAAAGGCAGATGTTCGCTATCTACGGGTCAATTAACTTTTTCTACTTTCAACTTCATTTCAGTATCATTGAAAATATAATATGAACTTATATATTTAGCGTGAAGAGTCTTACTATTTCACAGTGATTTTTTTTTTTTTTTTTAGAATTAAAGTTGGTTAATGTGATTTTAATTTCATAAATAAAGTGGGCGGTCGGTCATTATTAGTTTATTTATTGGATTGACGAAATTTTTGCAAGAAAGTGAGTCAGCATTGAAAGTTTATTTTTTAATTTGTATTCATCTCTTCTTTCGCGCATGAATAGTTCTTCGACTGTTCACCACTAACTTGATACCCAAAGATTTCTCTCTCTCTCTCTCTCTTAGCTCACTGTGTTCTTAGCTCACTGTGTTCTGAGCTCAAGCTATTTTCAGGTATTTTATTGTCGATATCTGAATATTTTACGAATTTTTAAAAAGTTCAGAACTAAACCTAAACCTAAATATTTAAAGATTTTCTGATAACAGGTATTATTTTGAATGGCCTGCTAATCCGGTAGTTGCCACTTTTGAAGCTGTAATTTTTTGACATTTGACAAATAAAATCTAAGCCAGTAATAAAAATGGAGCAATACACTTTCTACAATGCATTAAAATTATTAAAATTCACTATAAAAATGATGAAAATCTGCCACAGATTCGTAAAACTAAAACAGCAGCTTGTCTGACCGCAATACAAAAAATTGGTGGAAAATGTGGAGCTGTTGGGACATGTTAAGTGGGCTGGTGCACGTTGCTTAAGAACAACTGAGAATAAACTGCTGTAGCTCAAAGTCTTAAAGAAAACCCATTCCTTGCATACCTTGGACATACCACCAACGTCATTACAACGTAGTTTGCATAGAAAGCCTGGGTCTAAAGCCTAATAAAGAAAAGAAGAACTCAAGCCGATCCATCATCGACAACGTCTGGTCTTTTCTTATTGGGTTCTTGAAATGCGCGGAAATGAATCGGAATTCCATTGAAAAATCATCTTGACTGATTATGCCCATTTCCATCTCAATAAGAAGATCTCTCGGTAAACCCTAGATTAGTGGTTTTTTATGGCCGTAATTGGATGATATTGAACTGAACTATGTTTACCTTCAACAATACGGCGCTACGTGTCACACATGCAACGTCACCCTCGATCTTTTAAGGGAAAAGTTTCTGAACGGTGTTAACTCTCGAAGAAGTAATCGCGATTGGACACCAAGATGTTGTGGTTTAATACCTCTCGACTTCTTTTTTTGAGGCTACGTGAGAGATAAGGTCCACGCAAACAAGCCAATGTCGATTCAAGACTTTAAACATGGATTTCGTGAAGCTATTGGGGTCATACAACAGCCACTTTGCGATTTGGTGATGGAAAATTGCGCAAAAACGTACGGTCCTGTAAGTGTAGCTGTGGCGGCCATTTGGCTGATATTGTTTTTCTTTACACTGAAATAAGCTTCCGATCATTTGTCAAAAAATTCCTTTTTTCTTTGAATACCAAAATAACAAATATATATATTATATATATATATATAAATTAGTGGTTTGGCTTCTTGATTTGTTTCCAACAAACGGAAGGATCTTCAGTTTATACCAAGCAGCCTCCGATCTAAGAGTAGCTTTTATTTCATGTCTGATACACTCGAAGGTCTTGATATTCCCTGCTATAATTTTGTATGTTGGCCGAATCAGTAGTCAAACTCGAACCCTGGTCTTCACAGTGGCATTACGCAATGCTAACTACTCGGCTATCACATCCGCCCTGAATGGTAATTCATTCACTTACCAAATTTCTCCACAAACGTCTGCATCGCTTCGGTATGCTTGGTGTGCTCACTGGGCTTACGCGTTGTATTAAACATGACCTTCCACAATTGAGCGCCATGATAATTTATATAGTTTTCATCGAATTCACTACGATAATCCGACTTACGACCGACATGTGTATTCGGACGTACTGCACGTAGGAAGTTGCGGAAGAAAGGAATGCGCGCGAGAATACTGGTTCGTGGTACTTGTACTAAATTGAGTGGCACTTCAGTCAAATCCACCGGCATTTCTAGCCTAGCTTGTGAAGACACTATACACGTATGTAACAACAACAACCATATTTGTAGATAGAATATAGAAATAAAACAAAAATTTTTACACATCCTTCCTGCCCTGGGCTTTATGAATATTTTTTAGGAAATCAACCTCAACCGTCAACGCGATCTGTTCGTTTTAAGTGCTTAATTACAAATGTGCGTGACTGTTTGTTTTTGGAATAGTTGGTGTGCTTTTACAACTTAAAACAAATACAAAAAAATTCGCATTTGATTTTTTCTTCTCCTTTTGTGAAGATTATGACTGTCGGCTGAGAAAGTGATAGTAATCTTCAAATATCTTTTTGCTGCAATCATAATTTACACTGTAGTTGTTCGAGTTAGAAAAACAAGAAATATACCTGTAGCTCCAAGTGAAATATCTTTATTTTTTTTTTACTTTTTTACAATTTCATTGTGTTCTTCTAGTGTTCAAATAGCGGTTGTAGTATTTCTTATTCAAAACATAGCAAAATTAATACCTAAATTTGAATATAAATAAGAAATTTACATAAGGTCGGTGGGGAAATCGAAAATAACTCTTTCAACCCAAGCGATCTGCAGCGGTAAATATGAAGATGATGTAGTTTTAAAACTAACTGGTAAGCAGCAAGAAAGAGTTAAGGTTAAGAGAAACGTGAATATTGGCAAATCGGCTGTCTCAGCTGTACGAATAAATGATTATTTTTAATTACTGTAAATTTACATTAGGTTTTTGCAAGAGTTCTTCGGAATATCCCAAAATGATTGATAAAGTTTAATTTAATAGTTAATAGTTAGTTAATTTAGTGATGTCTGCCTGCTCGTTCTTTCAACGGAGAACCCGAAACTCCTCTTATATAGGGCTTTTAAGATAAGAGTTCCTATTTGGATTTTCAAGGAAAAATGTCTCTTTTCGAGATAAATCAGCGGGGGTATTGCCATCAAAAATGGAAAACAATTCGGTCAAAAAGTTGCCACGTCTACGCTTACAGGAACGTAACATTTTTAAGAAGCTTTCCATCACCAAATCGCAAAGTGGCTGATATATGCCCTCAATGTCGTAACGAATTTTATCTTGAAGTAAAGCAAGCGCAAGGTGTTAAGTCACAAGATCTCAGTGGCCAATTGCGATCAGTTCTTCGAGAGATAACACGGTCCGTAAACTTTTACCTTAAAAGAACGATAGCTACCTAGCTTGTGTAGCATGTAGCGCCGTCTTGTTGAAAGTGAACTTAGTTCAGATCAATACCAACCAAATACCGACCAAAAAAACCATTAATCAATTCTCGATAGAGCATTTACCGTAACCGTTGCTCCAGTCTCATTTTCAAACAGGCAGGTCTTTGACCCCGCCGGACCATAAACTGCGCGAAACAGTTACAAGTCAACAATAAAGCTTGCCTCAGTGGCGACTGTTTTGATTATTAAGGTGGCTGTGGAGGTGTGAGTAGGTCTCATAAGTAAGGATGAATTTACGATGAAATTTCGGGTAATTTTCATGTATTTCAAGGATACAGTCAGCAAAGGCACGAAGTTGCTGATGATCGAGCGGCTTGAGTTCCTATGTTAACTGATATTTATTAGCCTTAAGAACCAAGTCTTTAAGCAAAATACGAAAACCTGGGTTTTCTTCAACACTTTTGGCTACAGCAGAAATAATTTCAGTTGTTCTTGAGCGACATGCACGTGTTTTATTCTTTACGTCACGAACTTTTTCCAACAGCTCCACTTTTTCTAGCAATTTCTGTATTGCGGAACGACAAGGTGCTTTACGACGACCGAAAAATGTTTTGGTTTACGAACCATCTCTGCTAGATTTTCTTAATTTTTAGAGTGAATTTTAACAATTTCAATGCGTTGTTGAAGCGTATATCGTACCATTTTTATTATTGGCATAGTTTTTACTTGTAAAATGTCGAAAACACAGCCCAGTAGATGTCGCATTTATCTACCGGAATTGCGGGTCATTCAAAATAACACCTGTTCTTGGAAACCCCTTTATGTTTGCATTAAAGAAATTAGGATCGAAAGAAGCAAGTCACGGGCAGATTAGTGTTGCGAATCGAGAAGTCTATGATACACTTATATATAATCAAGTTCTTACTAGAATTTGATTCAAGATTATGTTCGTACCCTTTCAAGCAACAAGAGCAGCGCTTACATCTCTTATTAGAAGCAAAAGTTTCGATTAATAAGTATTTTAAGGAAAATAGTCTTATATTATACAATATTTTGTTCTTATTATTTCAAAAAGTATAATAAAATTTAAAAAAGGTGTTTTCCAAAAAATGGAAGGACCTACAGTTTATTCTCATCCCCGCCACCGAACATGTCAGAAATACACACGGAGAGCCTAAAATTACTTGTTTTGTGGCGACCTTAATTAGAAAAATTAATTTTCTATAATATTTGTATGTGGTTTGACTGAGGCCTTCCGAACGGCAGTAGGCAATGCCAACAAATCGGCTACTGCCGCCGTCACTATAACTATCATTACGTAACTAAAACTCTCAACTCCAAGAAGAAAAAACCTATTGTAGTTAATAGATTTAAGCAGAAATGTCATGTGGCACTACCCACTTCCATTTTAACAGCGATTATATACATATGTAGGTGTAAATATTTTTTAAGTGCCTTCTCCTCAAAAGAAAGTTTAACCAATTTTCGTAATTTATTACTTTATTTTATATTTGCCATTTTTTGTATGTTTCTTTTTTTATTTTATACACCCTTTTCGCATTTTCTCTCTAAAATGAAATGACGCAAAATTTAGTCATAGTTGAATGAACCGTATGAGTTAACATGCCTGCGTTTAATTATTTAAATCTTTCTATGATTATGAAATTGTTACAAACATACGTACATACACACATGAAATGTCATTAGCATTTTGAGTGATTTTATTACGAAATAGTTGAATAAACTGTTGAATATTAAATATTTTGGAAAAAAGAAAATATTGAAATTCGAAAAAGCTAATAACTATATTTGGAATAAAAATTTCTGTGCGTTTATATAACTGTATCGTTATATATAGATAAATATGTGTGCATATAATATTAATAAGTAATTATACGAATTTTAGCGAAGATTTTGATAGTTAAATGAAAACTATCACCTAATCAGAAGGCTAACTGGAAAAGCAATATATTAAATATAAGTTTGAAAATAAATGTTTCATAATTAATAAAAATTGTATAAAAATGTATGCCAAGAATTAATAATCATTAATAAGTTTGTTATAAATTATTTATTTAGATAATATTATTATATTTTAATATTATTATTTAATCATATTTTAAATTCTATAATTTTTTTTATCAATATTAAGTAAAAAAAAATGATAGAAATACTGCAAATTTCTTAATTTTTGAATGTATTTTTATGATAAGTTTATAAAAGAACTCTGTTAATATATTACTCTCCTCTTTAACAAAAACAAGTCTTTTTGAGTCATCTTCATTGTCTGACCTGCCCACTGAATAATTTTTAAATGGCCGCAGTATTATAACTGTGCAAATATAGCATAATCATTAGTCTTTTGATTGAAGGTTGATATGAACGGTTGGACGAAGTAATCGTATAAGCTGTTTCATATAAAATTATTTTAGAATTTTAATTTTAGTTAAAAAGCTAAAATTTTATGAATAGACCATCTTTATATTGAAATTTATAAAAATTTTTTTGATTTATTTTATTTTAATAATTTTAAATATTTTGTTGGTGGTAATTAAATCAGTAATTATTAGTTAAATTAGTTTATGAATAATTAACTTATTTTTAAAAATTAAAAGATTAAGTTGCTTTAGCGATAAAATAGTAATTTTTTTGAGAGTTCATATCGACAAAAAAAAAGTTTGCGACCTCTATTTTGTATTAGGATATATTTTTCGGTGTAGCCGCTTAAATGTTAAGTCTGTTCGACTTTTAAATTCTTACATGATCTGACTTCCGACCGGTGTAAGCCAGGTTGTCTTCTAACAGACAGGATATTAGTACTAAAAATTTTTTAAAAATAATTTAAATAATTTTAAAACTATTTTGACAGATTAGTGCAATAAATTTAGAATATATATAATTTGAATTACAAATAGAATTTTTATTTTCTTCTGGTTGGTAGATTAATTTTGGTTATTTGTGTTTCAGTGAGTTGAGCTTTTTTAACGCGTTTAGAGCGAAAAGTTTTGGGTTATATTAAAATTCGTAAAGGACCAAAGAAAGTAGGTTAAATAGCCTTTTTGAGATGCAATAAAGCTGTTTACTTAGAAACAAATCTATCTTCTTTTATCAAATTATTTTCTCCCATTTTTTCTTTATTTATTTCTTTAACTTCTTGACTATGTATTCCTTTATCTATTAAATTATTCTCTTTTACTGTGAATTGAGGAATTTGCCGATTAAAACACTGGTACTTCTTCTACTCCTAATGTGTTCAAAATTATTAAAAATTAAACATAATATCGTTTTACGTCGAATATTAAAAATGGTATTATTCTGTACTGATTTTAGTGTTCAGAGCATAAGCAGAGAATGTTCACGACATCGCAGTTGCTCTCTAAGTTGCCAATACTTACACTCGGTCTCCGGAGAATGTATAAAATTACTAGCAAAAGCTTTTATTTTAATAATGAAGAATTTTTAAGCCACCGAAGAGGCGCAGAGAAACTATTTAATTCATATAAAAAATTCACTCAAGCGGTTGCTACTAAAAAATAAAAATTCTATGCAAATTGTATAATCTCTATCTTGTTTAAGCCAAGTCTCGAACCCATTCTTAGCACGCATTGCCACCCACTCAGCTATGGTGAGCAATTAGGTAAAAAGAGTAACAAATAAGCAAATCTTTAAAGAGTTAAGAAAAGTTGTTATTATGAATTGGCGAAGTAGAGCAGTGACCACGATTACAGTATGATACGAAATTCCATAAAAGTACCGTAAGCACTGTAATTCAGTAATAAGTCAAGTCAAATTTAACTAACAGACCAAGACTCAGTGTACTCTGTTTTTTATTGAGACAACACTTTACCAGCCTGCTGAATGGCAGTGAATATGGCGCACTAGGAAATGGCGAGCCCGATTCCCCAATAGATGACGATGGAACAGACGTTTCTTTCCCTTAGTATGCTCACTTGAGAAATAACAAAGCGGCGGGTGGCCGATTCTGATACCGATTTATTTATTTTTGAGAAAGTCTATTTCGATTTCTGATTTTTTTGTATTCACATGCTCCCAATTTTCGTCAATTTTTTTGTAAAGGAAACCCACAAAATTAATTTTTCTAATTGTAGTCGCTATTCGATAGGTATTGTCCAACCCGCCGAGTGTGTTTCTGTCGTGAAAATAAAAGCTTCTTATAAATCTCTGTTGGCAGTTCGGAGGCGGATTATAATAAACTGTAAGACTCTCCATTTATTAGGAAACATCCAGACGCGCACTACAAATTGGTGGAGGAGCTCGGACAAAAATCGCATCGGCGTTGCAGAGCGCCAATTATATATAAATATTACGCCTAGTAATAAGATAGCTAAGATGACTGAAGTTATCTGTATCTCGCGTTCTGTAAGTGCGCTTAATGGCGTTAGGAAGATGATATTTGAAGAAATATAATAGGAGAAGTTGGTCACTTAACTCAGTAGTGTTTAAGCGCACATCAAAGATGGGTACAGCAGAGTTACAGAATCAGAATTGAAACCGACAGAATTCTGCTTGACGGGCCGCACATTCGGATTATTGACATGCATACCAGGTTCATTTTCGAAACAAAATTTGTATCGACTTTGTGTGTTACAGAAACTAATTTATCGGTTTAAGTGTCCGAACTAAACACAGCAGTTAATCGCTGACAGATTTGTGTGCCAATTTATTTGCAAGCGGAAATTTAATAAAAATGTAAGTCATGAACAATGGGTTTTACGATCAGTAATGGCTGGAATATGGTACTTGGTGAAAAAATGTCTCTACGCTCTTCATTGTCGTTCACTACCTCCAGAGTGGACCAATCCGCCGTTCAAAAGCCTTTAGCTCTTCTTTTATAACCGAGATTGTAGGTCGTTCTATGAAATATTTCGTTCATGGCCCACAGACCGTTGATACGAACCAAGTAGATTTTATAACAGATATTGATTTTCTATTCCGATAAATTAACAATTCAGTGTCGGCTTCTATAATAACCCTAACTCGCAAGGAAAACATATGTTACATTCTATTACGATTTTTCTTCGATAAAGGCGAGAACGCAAGTTAGGTAGCTGATAATATGAATAGTGCTTAAGGTCTTGATAATATAAGACTCCGTAGTGCACAATTCCGGTTTCATTCCGGTAATTTTGATGTGGAAAACCAATTTAAAAATGTCGATAATAGAAAACATCGAGTCTGACCGTCTTACGAGTACTATTTCGATTATCCAGTAGCTAAACATTCCATAAAAAATCGTTTGGAATCACTTGAAAAAGGCTGGATACGCAAAGAAGCTTGATATATGTTTGCCACATGAGTTAACGAAAAAAAGCTACTGAACTAATTTTCCATCTGCCAATCGCTGCTGAATCGTAATAAAATCGACCCATTTCAGGAGTGTGGACGGTGACTAATAAATAAGATCAGTTACAGCAAACTCAAGTGAAAACGGACGTGGCTGATGGGCAGTGAGCCGGCACAAACGGTCTCCACGCAATAATTGTTGTGTGTTTTTTCACTAATTATATTTAATTCTTTAAATTGATCCAAATCTGCTTCTCTTTCTATGATTATCCCACTAGTAGAAAATATAAATTTAGACCACTGAACTCATCATCATCATCATACTTTCCATTTACTGTGAGCAAGCGATAGAAATTTGACAGTTGGCAAAACGTTTGAAAGCGTCACAAGGAAAAGGAAATTATTTTACAGAATTGTGATTGTCATTGAGATTGCGACATAACAGTACATGAATCACCAACACATGTATCGTGTTTGGGGGTAATATTGAAGCGCTTCTTTGCTTTATGACATTCAAGTCAACCGAAATAGTGTACGCAAAGGCAACAAAATGAAAAGTGAATTTGCTGTGAAATGATTTTTGTTGCCTTTTGACGGCAGCGGCCCTACTTAACTTACCTAAATACAATATGAGCAGAAGGAAAAAAGGAAAATGGAGAACATAAAATAATAAAGAACAAAGCAGAACAAGGTCAAGGCTATGCATAGGGACCTTTAGGAGAGATAATGTGAAGAGTACATGCAGCGCTGACGATTGTTGATTTTGCTATGAGACTTTTCAGATGTCAAAACCATATCGATGTGCAATTTAAAAATATATACATACATATATGTACATATATATGCATATGCATGGATGTTTACATACTTAAATAAACTTCGCATGCAAATTTTGTTCGTTTGTCATTTAGTCTTTTTGTTTCTACTTCTTATGGTTAAGCTATATGCAAGTGGATAACCCCATCACACACATGCACACATACGAGGGGATTAACAAAAGTTCACCTTTCCGAACTTTTCATCATCATTCATCAGAAAAAACAACAAAAAAAGTCGTTTTGTATTTATTTGTAATCTTTGTCCCTTTTTTTCTTCTCTACTTAATCGCCATTGGTTTCAACTCATTTCATTTCTTAAGCCTATAAATCCACTTATGAAAACAGTCTTCAAAATTTTGCTTTTGAAGCTTATCAAGTTCAGCATTAATCGCATTAATTATCTCCTCGCTGCTAAACAACACCTCTCCATTTAATGGTGGGTTTGCTCCTTTTGGGCGCCTTACCATGGACTGTTGTTTGGTTTCTGGATCCTACTCATAGAACCAAGTTTCTACACCAGGCACGACTTTATTAAAGTTGCTTGACTGACCATTTACGAATTTGTTTAGGAAAAATTGAGCAAAATGCACTTGAGTGTTTTTTTGAGCCTAATTAAAAATGATGACTCAATGTTCGAGATACAGCCATGACATTCAAGCGAAATTTATTAGCAACCATTTCTTGTGTCAATGGTGGGTCTTCCTCAATTTTGGACTTCACCAGAGCTACAGTGGCGTCATCAGTGTAAGATTTTGGTCGACTTTCTCCGGGCTCGTACTCTACGGAAAAATGTTCGGTCGGAAATCTTCGAAACCACTTAGAAATAGTCTTTAAAGACTGTGAAATCGTTCCATATGCAATTTGGTCTTCACTGAATATTTGTATTGGCTGTGAATTACATCGAAACCCGAACAGAATCATATGGCGAATTTCTGTTTGCCTTGGTGGTTAAATTTCGTCTGAACTACCCTCAGCTGTCTTGAGCTTTTTCGTCTAGATTTTAGTCGATCGTTCTAAAATATGAAAAAAAGACAATAAAGTATTTTCCAAGGATTTGACATTTTTAGATTTAACAAAAACAAATTGAAAGTCACCAACTGACCGAACTTTTGTTAATCTCCTCGTACGTGTGTTGAAGACTTGCAAGCGCAATCACTCAGCCATCGTCATGTAGAGAATCTAAACTTTCAATCAAAAACATACACATTTACATTTTTAGTGAAATTTCTTTTACATTTATTTCATTCCGATATCGAATTCTTCTCATTTTATTATTCACTTGAATTGTCTGTGAGCTTTCATTAAGATTAAACAAACTTTCAGTCTATTTAAATTCAGCTAGTTGGCCAATTTCTTTGAGCAAATACATAAATACTCGAATAAATTACATTTATAAATAGCATAAATAAATTAATAAATAAATCTTTTGAATAAATAATAATAATTACAATAATTGGCATTTTCTTTACTTAACTAAATTGGCTTTTGATGGGTCACACATTCTTCTACATTTCTTCTTGAAGTCTGCTAAATGCATACTGTGCTCAATAAATAAATAATAAATAAATAAATAAATAATTTAAATAAATTATATTAAATTAATTTAGATAATTAAACTAATTCGTAATTAAAAGGCACGTTTTCGACTGTATTTATTGTTGCCCTGTGTAACAGCGCGCGCTACCGTGTCCACAAAAGTGTAACCATCTCTACCGTTCGATTCGATATGGCTTGCGGGTAATACGAAACCATAACGGCCGGTGTCACCCATTTCAATGGTGTAGGCATATTTGATACCAGCAAAGCCCTTAGCCCAATCATCCGAACCACCAGCTGCTGGATAGAGTGTAGTCGCTGATGAGCCGACGGTGTATTTGCCACCCGATTTCTTCGTGATGGTCTGTGTGGGGCGAGAGAAAACAATTTTATTTAGAATATCAAAAAAATTCCCAGTATTAATAAAAATTAAATAATATAAAATAAAATAATCTACAATATGTATTTAAATATCTGTATCATTGGCGCTTTATAACCGGTGAGGTGACTTTCCGCCGAGCTCTTTCTCCAATGTCTTTCCATCAAATACAGGGACCTACAGTTTATTCTAAGCCGATGGAATTTTATGAGGAACTTTTATTTCATGTCGGACAGACACTCGGAGGGCTTAACATTCCCTGCCTAGTGTTGAGCCGAGAAAAATTCATTTTCTATAATTTTGAATGTTGGTCGAGGACTCGAACACTCTGGCCTGCCGAATAGCGTTTACTATTCTACTCCCTCCATGAGCCCTGTATTCACAAAAAAAAAAAATCATATTGAATTTTCACTACCAGTAGCAAGCTTCTTCCCCCCTTAAGGGATAATTTTGAGAAAATTAAAAAAAAAAATTCCAACTCCACCTGAAGCGGCTGAAAGAAAAGCTTGAAAAGTAGCCTGAAGAAACAAGATCTTCTGTAGTATATCGTCCGCCCGTTAATTGTCACAAAACCCTCTCCGCTGTGGCTCTGGTTCATACTCCGCATACTCCAGACTATGGTCATTCAGTCAGTCAGTGTGTTAATTTTATTCAACAGCAACGGCACGTAACGGCTTGCTCCCATTTAGGAGCATGTAAAGCTAAGAATTATCTCGTGGCCTTTTAACAGGAAACCTGGGATACATGCTGCTTGGATTAGTTCCAATGGAAGTGGAGTGTTAAATGACTTGGTTTGAAGGGTCAAGAGGTGATTAATACCGTGCAGGGATACACGTCTGGTATGTAAGTGTCTAGCTTAAATAAAAGAGCTTAATCTGCTACCGTAAAGAGGGTTTAGTTGTGCCAAGCTGACAAGATCTGACAAGACAGCTCGAGCTCTGCGGAACAGTCTTTTCTGCGCGCTGGGGATTTTCTTAAACGGCTAAGGTTCTACAAGGAGACACACCTTCTCAACAATGGAGGGAATTTCTTGTTCCGACGATGGTTTTGGTTAATTTATATTCATCACATTGCTGTTCTAAGACTATTACTATTGCATCAGTTCATTAGTCCTGCTTATAAGCAAGTAGGATTAGTCTAAGGCATCGCGGTTATTTAACGGGAGGTCCAGAAAACGAACTATTTCGTTCCGTTCGGAACAGAGGGAAAGGGGGCTTAGATGAGTTGGTTTTAAAGAGCACGCAAAGAGGTGGTTGGTGTCGTGCGGAAACATATTGTCTGCAAGAAATACGTTGGGTATGTCGGTATCACGTCTAGATAGGTCGGAGTTTAGTCGGCTACAATATAAAGATCTTAGTTGCGCCTGTATGACGCGGCATTCTCAAGACAGTTTGAGCTCTTCGTCTGCAATAAGTGGTGGTTTGACTCCAGGAACGCCATTAACAGGAAGATCGTTCAGGGAGGAGTTTACGGACTCACGGTGAATGACTTTTAATGCTTGTTGGTAAGCCGACCTGTTCTTGGGTTAAGACGCATAACCCTCTGCATAGTAGTTCCTACACAAGCTACTCAGCCACTGCGGCCGCCACTACTTTTACTATTACAAATTTTAGTACTACGTTGTTATCAAATGCGTAATCATTCTACTCACCGTTCCCGCTTGACGTGCCACACGATCCAAGTCCATTTTATCGGCTGTTAGATGGTAATCATAACCCCATGGATACAAAATATATTGACCATAACTGTGGAATGAGAGGTACGCTTGGAATGTATCACGTGGATGATTGCTAATATATTTGGAAATATAGAAAGTCTCCGGTTCCGAGAAAGCTTTACTGCCGCGATAGGTTTGTGAGCAAGGATTTGCCGATGTGCCCTTACCGCCCCACTTATAACCAAAGTTACGATTCAAATCGACACCAGGACACTGACGGCCATGTGAACGCATATTTTTACGCCACAAACGATCGGTCGTGTGTGTATACTCATAACCATCGGGATTAGCCACAGCATGTATGTACCTATGGGCAGCGAGAGTAATAACACATGATTAAATGCAAATGCCAAATAAGAGCAGCTCAACAAATGGAGCGTGACTTACCAATCAACATTGCGCATATACTCTGGTAAAATCTCCCAATCCTCAATCAATTGATTCGCAATGAAAGTGACTGTGGCCGGACTAATCCATTCGCGCGCATGCATGCCACCATCCATCCAAATGCCTGGATTGCCGGGATTGCCGTTGGAGATTCTACAAAACAAAATAAAAGAAATAAAAGTAAATAAAAAATAATGTAGAAGTTGAATAAAATGTTGAGCGGAAATGAAAAGCTGGCGGCACATGCCGATGTGTGAAAGTAAAAATATTTTTTGTTGGATTTTTTGTGAGGTTAGGTGTTTTCTCAACAAATGTATAAGGATATATATTTTTCAATTACATTTATTATTTTTTATTTTTATTTTTATTTGCCATAAGTAAACTTACTTCAATATTTTCAAAGGTCGCTTCTGCAGTGAATAGCCTATGGTTTCAACCGAGCATATGTCGGGATATGTCTTTGCCATGGTATCGAAGAAACCGTGTATGTCTGCGAGGCGATGATAGGCCTTCCATGTCAAGCGGTGTCCTAAAAGAAATTAATTTTTTTTTTGGTTATAATAATCAAGCATGAAATACTCTTTTATTGAAAAAGATTTCCTTTTTGTGGTGCACAAATTAAATTCGCTCAAGCATGAAATCCGCCCACTTTATGGCTGGCAACATCGTCAAAAAAAAAAGAAAAAAATTTGAACAAACGCCGGAAATGTCACAAAGTGTGCAAGAAGTAGCAAATCACTTGCGTCTACTACTTGAGTTTGTCTGTTTCTTAAGTATCCGTGTGCGGAAGGGTAATAAAGTCTGATATGGCTTGGAATAGTTTTGAAAAAAAAAAAAAATAAAAAAATAAAATAAAAAATAAAAAAAAATAGCATATATGTATATACGATTTATGTATGTCTGTATATATTTTTACTGCATTTTTCTTTACGACTTTTGCTAGAGTAGCTCGTGGTAATTTGCATTATATTTTCATATGCAAGGCACCATTGCATTTACTATTTTTGCATTACTATTTTTAATTGGGGGACTGCATTTGTTACTATTTTGTATTCAATTTTATTTGATTTGAAATTGTTTTTCTATTGATTAAACAAAGCAATAATGCACTTGATTGACTGCTGTAAGGGATCCTTGAAATCGTTAATTGACGCAATGTGTGTGATGTGTCGTTAAGGGTTTTAGTGCGAAGAATATGCTCTAACAGTATTCCTGCATATATCTTGGAGAAGGAAACACAGAAAGGTTATGTAAAATGTCCATTAGTTTCGTCGAGAACCTCACCAAGCCGTTTGATAACAAAGAAACTTTCGTAGAAGGCGATGCCTTATCGTGTGATTACTTTAATCAACAGCTGGTGAATTTAGTAAAAACTGCATAGCTGGTTGGAGAAGGTACAATCTTCTATAAGAGTGTACAGCTGCTGTGGTGAAATTCACATTATTGACCTCAGCAACCGTGCCGAGAGTTCTGCTTTCTCCATACTGGATAAGGAAGGGAAGGATATGGGTCTGGTAGTGAACGAGCGCAATACGAAATATCACTTCCATTCGTGACTAATGCCAAGAGGTGCTACTTTGAACTAAGTAGGCTTTTGAAAAGTAAAGTACCCGCTCGACGAAAGAGTGTCGTTCCCGTTCTGCGATATGGGGCTGAGGCATGAACGATGATGCCGTTAAAAGCTTTCAAGAGAAAAGTTTTGCTGAAGATTTATTGTCCTCTATGAATTAGGTACTGCGAATACCGTAGCCAATTGAACGATGAGCTGTACAAGCTATAAAACGAGATTTATATAGCTCATCGAATGAAGAAACAGCAAAGTAGCTGAAGAAGTTCCAGAAACTGGGGTAAAATTTTAACAAAAATACGATAAATCACGCACTCAGGCCAGGAAGATCATTTCCATGCTTATTCAGAAAAGTTTATATGTAAGTATTACAGAAAATGGTAAAACTCTTGAAAGATTGAATAAAAGTAACAATTTTGACTCGGTAGAGCTTATGTGAAAATAATAGATATTATTTTTTTAATATAACCATTTTGCGTCATCAGACTCGGCTTAAAAGTTTTAGAAATTTCAAACTGAAAATAACAAAAAATATTTATCAAACTTATCAAGTCTATTTTATTCTTTTTCATAGTTTTTTAAATTAGTTTCTTTTTGTTTAATATTGAACATTTATTTTTTGATTAATAAACTAAATTAGTTTAAGATTAGCCGAAATGTTTAGTCTATTGATTAATTGTTCAGAAAAAAGATTAAAAGATTAATCGACAACTAAGATCAACTAATCAATCAGATCATGGGATTAAGAGATTATTTGCAGAAATTTGTTGAGCAGAGATTTATTAATTGATTAATCAATTTACTTAGGTATGGATTCACCGAATAGCTTAGTCTGTTGATTAAATGCTAAGATGAATCAATATCAAAGATCAACTAATTAACGGGGACTTGGGATTAACTAATTAAATGAAGAAATTTATTATGAAGAAATCTATTATTTAATTAATCAATTGAATTGGTTTAAGATTAATCGAAATGTTTAGTCCGTTGATTGATTGTTAAGAAAAATGACTATTCAACAGCTAAAATCAATTAATTAGTCAGATCATGGGATTAGGAGACTATTTGCAGAAATTTGTTATGCAAAGATTTATTATTTGATTAATCAATTTAATTACCTAGTCTGTTGATTAATTATTAAAATTAAGATAGTTAATATTAATCAACGGCAAAGATCAACTAATTAATCGGCACTTGGAATCAACTGATTAATTGCAGAAATTTATATAATTTCCAATTTTAAGTGCTTATCCTTCCTAATACTCATTTCCGTTTTAACGCACTTCTTTCTTTGTATTTATATACACTTTTTACACCTTACTTCCCACAGTCAATTGCTGCAATTATTTATCCACACTTCATTTTGACTTTATCATTTAATCAAGGCGTAATGAAACACGAATGGATGGCCCACAAAATTTACACATAATTATGCAACCGAAAAGCAAACTGTAGCGGCGTACCAATGAATAATAAAACTAAAAAAAATTATAACCAAAAAATGGAAAAAAATGAACACAAAAATCGCCAAAAAAAAAATATCACCCAAAAAAGGGTGCAATAGCTAAAACACGGATGAGTTGCAAGGTGTCAAGAGGTCACCACCCCTTGGGCGTATAGCTACTACACTAATACGAGTGTATGTAAATATATATGTATAAGCAAGTTTTTTCGTCATATTTTCGTGGTAACTATATGCTTGTCTTGCAGCCCATACTGATTTTCGATAAATTAGTTAGTACGCCCAAAAATTTGTGGTGTCACATATATAAATATTTGAAAATGTATTAGAATTCAAATAACTAACACTTCTCATGCCTAGACAATGCAGTTAAAAAAATCATTTATAGCAGTTGGGCGTGTAAGAATTGCCTGCCTCTCTAATATGTATATCGAAAAATGTGGCTGCAACCCTTGTGCATTCATTATTCGCACAGAAAAGTGCCATATTGTCATCTAAGCGTCATTTATCATACCTGTTTATTACACATACACACGTATATATATACATATATCAGCTGGGCAAAGTCAGTTTGGCGTTACTAACGGCTCTACAAACAAAGACGTTATGAGAAATGCGCCACCAATGCCATTACCAGTGCCATTAACACACCCCCCCCACAATCGAATTTGTTTGAATTGCCAAAGTTTAGCGCTTGGATCGTAGGCGTTGGGATACACATAGAAGTGCGAATGTAAATGCAAATGCAACAACCCCTGAAAATTTTAAATTGTTTTTTTTTTTTTTTTTTCTTAACACATTTTTTTTTTTTTTTTTTTTTTTTTTTTTTTTTTTTTTTTTTTGTTGAATTTTGTAAAAGTTTTCCTTGCGTTTTCTGTTCATACTACACTTGAGTAGCTTTGTCACAGCAACCGTATGCTTTATGTCTGTATGAGTGTATGTATGTATGTATGCAGTTATTTGTTGGTATGCACATTTTGTATAGAGGTATAGAGTGTGAATTGTGTTGCCAGTGACGGCGTCAACATGTTACACATTTACGCCAAAAACACTTCAGACACCCACGTCCACTATCTACATACATATATACATACATACATACCACTCAGTGCTATATGTTGCTTTTAGGAAACTTTCCGGCTCCCGTTTTTCAGAGTGTCTGCTGGGCAATAAATAAAAAAAAGTTTCTAAATTTTCAATTTCAAATTAAATTTGTGCACTTTTTCATTTTGATTTTGAGGGAAAAAAAGACACTGAAAACTGAAATCAGAAAAGTTTACAACACTCACCCTTGCGATTTTGGTATAATGCAATTTCAGCAGCACTGGGATTTTCCGTTTCGATGACATTTTGCAAATTATCGATGAGAACGATGCGCGACAGATTTGCGGCGCGTACATGCTGTGCGGCTTCGGACAAAACTTGTGGCTTCAGCAAGTAATCGACCTCTTGTTTCACCTCCTTCCATAGTTGGCCACCTGCAGTTGGATTGCGGTGTTTTTTTTTTTTTTGTTTTCGTTTCGTTTTTTTTTCGTTTTCGTTTTGTTTACATTGGTTTTATGGTTGATTTTATGGTTGAAATCGTTAATTGAGTGAATCACAGTCGAGCCATGTGAGGTCATGTGGGGGAAAAAGAAAGCAAAAAGAAATAAAATTAGAAAATGCTGCAATGGGTTGGTTGTATTAATTAACTTGTATTTTTAATAATTATAATAAATAACTTATATATGTATAGTATGTGTATATAACTGTTCAAGTGTGAAATGGGCGGTTAATTGCTTGAAGTTTCTCACATTGCTGTGTTAATCGTTTATAAAAATTTGTTAATTTGTTTTTTGTTAGTCTATTTGTTGTAAGCTACTATTTTAGTTTGATGTGTTTTAACTTATGGTAGTTAATAAAGTGGTTAAGTAGCAAGTATGTATTCTTTATGTATAAATTATTACTAAAAAAAAAAAGTAAAAACCCATTAACTGACGGTAAAACGCCAAAGGTAAATCACTAAAGGTCATTAGCCTAAAAAACATATCATAAATAATAAAAACTAATAACTATTTGAGAACTGCAGACTTAAATCCACTAATGAAAATTAAAGGTTGTTTCTTTCATAAATCGGTAAAAAATAAAATCAATGTGTTCAAAGTTACTTTAAAGTTGAAAGCACAATAAACGCCTCGGGCTACAAACTACGCAGCTGTCAAAATTGAAATTCGATGGTTCTTAAGGGAACGAACGAAATAGCGACTACACGACTAAATAACAACCGATATACATAGATGTGGTTAAATTATATTACTTATAAAAAATTATAATTTTTACTCAACCGCTTTCGGTGAGATAAAAAGCTCTGAGCTATTTGCAACGAGAGAGCGCAATTTTGACATTTCGTTAAGAGCTAATTTTCACTGACAGTTCTTAACGAACAGAGCTTATATCCAGGATACAAAAGTTCAAATCAATGATGCCAAATTTGAAGCATTCTTCTTGGCCATTTTTTTATTCATTTATTACAGATAATTTATAGATCTTCATAAATATATTCACAACGTGCTGAAGTTGCATGCAGTTAAGCTGGTGAATTATTCAGGTTAATTAACTTCTGCTTTAAATATTTCCATTTTCTTTTCTTATTTTTTTTGTTTTTTTTTTTTTGTTATTTTTTTGTTAAATATAAAAGGCTTCGTGGTCCTGAATGACTGACACAGCCTGAACCACTGAACATACAAACCTCAAACTTGGTGGTTGTGCTCTAGGACGGAAAATTGAATTTATTTTTAAATCGTTCGATTTACACGAAATTTGATTGAGAAGAAGCTCTTTGCTAGATTCAGATGGGAAATACTTTTTCATCCCGAAAGTGAGCTTTGTATCGATCTATTCAGACAAATCGTGCTTATGGTTCAAGGGGCTTAATATTTGGAACATATCTAGATTGCTCATTTCCTTAGGAATTTGAACTTCGAACAGGAATATAGGAAGCATAGAACTGTACTTCTTTAGATGGATTTCAAGCACTTTAAGATTAATATAGTTTACATATGTGTGATGATGTTACTGGGCTTAAAAGTTAATGCACAAAGTTCAATTTTTAAAAACTTTATATTCGACAATTAATAAAATGTCACCATTAGCTCACTTCATCAAATCTAAACTGCAAGGAATTGAATCCTCTGATTCGCAGCTCTTTGTAATTTATAAATTTTTATTCACTCCAGGGGTTTTTGTTAGGCGGCCCCAAAAGCCGAGCGGTTATCATTGTGTACTAACATTCGGGTAGGCAGTATTCGAGTCTCGATCCGACCAACTTCCAACAATTATGGACTAGAAATGTCAAACCCTCGCCTCATGAAAATCTATCAACCGTTGGGTTGAAATGTAGGTCCCTCCAATTATTGGAAAAACACAACACAAAAATGGAGGCAGAGCTCGGCCGAAAATCGCTTCTGCTGTTACACAACGCCAATTGTGTTAAATACAATGAATTTCGTCTAAGTTTGCATCAATACTACCTACAGTATGTAGTTTTATTCCAAATTAAAATGTATTATATTAAAATATCAACAAATTCAAAACCTAAATTTATATAAAATTTCCTTTTTCATCAAGGCTGTTGCATACCATGAGCATAATTTGTTTTTATGGCTTGGAACTTTTTTCATAAAAACTACCGAAAAACTTATATGTAATATATAGTGCATATCAGCTCTCATCACAAACTCATTAAGCACGAAAAAGTGCATTTTTTGCACAATTATTTTGCAAATGAACGAGCAAAAAGTTTTTAATATTTTTTCTGAGTGATTTTTCATCGACAGACAGGCTCTCGAGCTGTGTGAACTACTTACATATATATGTATATAAACTACTGTGCAGAAGAGCGAATACATAACCTTGCATACAGTGCGTGTGTTCCATGTATATACATGTGAGACACTTGTTAATATACATATACCATACGCGGACAATATCTACGGTTATCCAAAGAGAACTACAATCCATACAAAAAATATGTTTCAATTAAACTTGGGATGTACTAGTGCTGGACCATATACTACACCTCTGCATAATATCCGAATAATCCATGCAGTATATATAGTATATTAGTTCAGTATTTTCTATTAGTTTTGAAATTAAACAACAAAATTACTCCATGGAGTACCTACAGTGGGTTACATTAATGGAGAAAATACGAAAAAAGATATTCGAACATTTTCATACATTTTATGTACCCACAAGTAAAAAATCTTGTTTAGCAATTGCGATCGTTAAAACACGAACGATCAACGGCTAACGAGAGGGTGGTAGCGAGAAGTAAGTTGATCCAATAGTATACTACAGAAGTGTATATATCAGATTGCATCAATGCAACATATGCTCCAAAATTGTTTGCTGGGTTACTTCAGCAGTGTGTATTTAAGCAATTATTTGGACTAAGGACTAGCATTACGCAAATGAAAATCAGAATAAAATCCTTTACAAATAGACATATCACGCCACTGACCTTAAAATGTAACTTTATAAGCTAAAAAAAAAAGAAGAAATCAAATGTAACGGAAATTAGTTTAATTTTTGTATATTTGTATACATACATACAGTTTATATGTGTATTATATATGCAATAGATATGCGTATGTATATCACTTATGGTATATATTCATATTGACCTTGTACCGAAACGGTCACGGTAGCCGAGTGGTTAGCATCCCGGTGCCATCAACATCCAAAAGTTATGGAAAATTAATTTGAATAAAAAATTATGTTTAATTTTCTAACTGCGGTCGCCGCTCGGCAGGGAATGTCCACCCCTCCGAGTGTATTTCCCACATGAAAATCAAAAGCTGTTCATAAAAAAACCATTAGCCGGTCGGAGGCGGCTTAGTATATGCTGTAGGTCTCTCCATTTCCATGCAAAACCACAAATTGGAGGAGGAGCACGGCCGAAAATCGCTTAAGCGGTTATAAAGTGTCAATTATATATACGAGTATGTAAGTTGTACCGAAACCGAGCGGCAAAACGTAGACGTATCCGATATGTATACGAGGAATGCAAATGGCATTAAACTATTTATGCTCAAAGGAAATTTTATATGGTACAATTAATGGTAGTCTTCATTTTTTCTACAACTTTCCCTTTTGCACTGCGCTATTTAGTGCCAAAAAGTATTTATTTCTGCGTCAAAACAAAAAAAAATCGATCATTATTTTATATACTTTTATGCATATTTTTTTTGTTAAACTATTAATCTGAATGCATAAATTTCGCTTCATTACTTGAATTTAGATAACTTATTTTTATTACATTTTACATTTATTTTACTTTTACTTTTACGTATTGGCGACATTGCAATGAAAGCTTCGCCTATTGTTCACATTTCATGGACTAGCGCATGCAGTCTCCTTCCTCTTTTTTTTGCCAATTTTAAATGCTGGTCGCGAGCAAATTTCTATATATACATACTCACTTATATACATAGGTATGTATGTACGACTACTTACAGCAGCTCAAGTTGCGGAAAAGTATGCTGCAGCATACAAAATCAGTTAGTTAAATTAGAAACTCAAACTTTCAGAGTGAAATTAAAAACAAAACCAAAACAAAAAAATAAATAAAAAAATATAAAAAAAAATATAAAAAAAATATAAAAAAAATTTACAACAAAATTCCTTTGTATAATAAAATATGTAAATGATCGAGAAAAAAAAAATAAAAAACAAAATAAAATACACAAAATAAATAATTCAGCCTAGCGCAGGGTATGCCAAAGAAGTCTTAAGTGCATTAGCTTAATATGCCAGCGGTGGCTTGTGTTTCATTTTTGTTTATTTCTTTTTTTTTTTTTTGTTATCGTACAGCTTTTTCTTTAGTAATGCAAGCAGTAAAACGGTATACCGAGACTATTGAACTGTAAATTGTTTGAAAGTGTCAACCAGAAAGATAAACCATTTAATTTTTGGGTTTTTAGGCTGCTGCGAAGTATTATAGATATTTTCTCTATAAAAATAAGCCTCTTATGTTTCTGACTTTGCCTCACCTAATGTTGTTCGTCTGAAGCTGATTAATTTTTGGGGCGTGGCGGCTGTATAGTTTCATGTTACCACTGAGTGTTTTTGGAGAATTTTAGACTTGAAATAGTTAGAGATCATTATTATTTTTTAAATAAGATTAAATATATTTGATTTCGTTGTTTTAATATTTCAGATATCGCAATTTTTCTGCAAATTTATAGGTGAAGTAATATAGTATTTCGCCAGGGAAGGCCAACCGCTCCGGGTGAATTTTACACATGTAATAAAGCTCCTTATAAAAAACATCAGCCGTTCGTAGGCGGCTTAGTACAAACTGTGGGTCCCATCATTAGTTGGAAAAACATCCAGACACAAAACCCCAAATTAGAGGAGGAGCTCGGCGAAAATCGCTTTAGCGGTTACAAATTGCCAATTTTATATATATAATATAGTAATTAAGTCTAATGAACTATGCTCTACTAATTAGCTGGTAATCAAGAAAAGGACGTCGCGATAGCCGATTGATTAGCCCTGAGTACTGCTTTCTTATTGAAATTTTCATTCTGATTTTGATATGAAAATTGAGTTACTGGTTGCCCCAAAATAAGCATAAAAAGTTAAAAAAAAAAACAACAAAGTAACAGCTGACAGTTTGGGCTTACTAAAAATGTAGCATTACAACCAAATTACAACCAACAACCAAAATCTCTTCATTATTGAACAATATTTCAAAAATTATGTAAACTTCTCGTCCGCAGTTCGAAGATTTCGGAAAAATGTTTTAATTTCTTCTACTATGAAGAAATTAATTGAAAAATCCAGGGAGACAAGACCCTTTGAAGCCGCCAAACACACTAGTCGTCCAAAAACAAATCGTTTAAAGGACAATATGGAAGCAGTGCGTGTGAGGAAACCTGGACCTCAGCTCGACGTCGTAGACAATAATTTTAAGTTTGAAGAAGCTCTCTACAGCTTATAGAACTCTCTAAAGATCTCTGTCTCCATGCTTACAAAATTCAAAACTGTAGTCTAATGACTGTGTACAGCGAAGATAGTTTGCTCCATGTATTATTGAGCATGAACAAAATTATGCTGATTTTTTGAGCAAACTCATCCTAAGCAATGAAGCACATTTTCCAAAATTGGAGGTTCTGAGAACCGATAGGCGATCGATGTTTGTTGTGGAGTTTGTGTTGAACGCATAACTGGATCATACTTTTTTGAAAATGAGGCAGTGACTGTTACTGGTGCTCGATAACGCGACCCAGTTATTTTTGCCAAAATTTAATGATATTGTTGTGGCCAATATGTGGTTTCATCAAGACTGGGTGTCACTTGTCATAAAGCCTGTGAAACACTTCAATTACTGTATGGGGAATTTCCTGGTCATGTACTCTCTCGTTGATTATTATTTTTATTTTTTTATGGGGTTATTTAAAGTCTGAGGTCTATCGCATCAAGCCTACAATGCGTCAATGGGAAGACTTTTAATTGTTAAGTTTATTCTGCATTTCCGAAAGAATGAATTCACTGAATTTAAGCAAATCTTGAGACGCTTCAAAGAAACTCGTTCATTTGGATTTGTATAATTTAAACTATAAAATAATTATTTTTTTTTGTGCTTACATTTTAATGTTAAATAATTTCTACGTATTATTTTACTGAAATATTTTGTATATTCTTTTTTCTTCTATTATTTATGCGACAGCTAAAAATAATTCATGCAGGAATAGAAATTATTGATTTTTCCATGCATTTAAAGCTTGTATGCTATCTTTTGACGGCATAACATCAACTCAGCTTTTGCAGCCAAGCCATTAGTTAGTACACTGCCAAGCGACTTGCAGCTCACCCCAACTGTCACTAAATTTTTATATAATTTTTTTTTTTTTTTTTTTTACCGGTGTATGTACCCATTGCATTATGTTTCTTAATATTGAACTATTTTTAAAATTTCCCAGTATTTGCCTGCCAAACAAAATTGTAGAAAAGCATATTAAAATTATTGCGAAATTTCTTTCTTTCAATTGTAAAATTGACTTGCTGGCAAAAATATATATGTTAAAATAAAAATATATATATATATTAACGATAAATTTCACGTTAATAAAAAAATTATGCGCTTTGATTGAAACATTTGGAATTGTTGTCGTTAAAGCAGTTATCAAAATAAATTTCTTTTCGATTTTACCCGAAGCGAATGTTAAATCGTTAAGAGATAATGTTAAACGTTAACATGATGTTAAATGTTAAAATTGCCATGTACTGTTGATATCGTTTCAAACAGCCATTTTAATGTTAATGTTAAATCTTAAACAGATAATTTTAAATAGTTAACAGATAATGTTAAACATTAACAGTTAGTGTTAAAGATTAAAATATCCGTGTACTGTTGTTATCGCTTCAAGCAGTCATTTTTCTGTTAATGTTAAATCGTTAACAGATAATTTTAAATCTTTAACAGATAATGTTAAACGTTAGCAGTTAGTGTGAAAGGTTAATATTGCAGTGTGCTGTTAATCTCATTTCAAGCTCTCATTTTAAAATTAACGTTAACGCTGAGTTTTTGCGTTTTCAACATAAACAATTTCATTTTGTTTCGTTAACATGGCGCCGAAACGAAACAAAATAATTTCGTCAAGCTTCTTTTTCATATTAACAAAACGAAATGGTATCGTTTCGTTAGTTGAACTTCTCTGATATGTAAAAATAGAAATATAATATAAAATAATAGTTAAAAAGCTGTTATGTTGTGCAGAATGTCAGTAGCTTAATTACAACGGTTTTCACGAGTACAACAATTATTGACGACAACCGTTGTTTACGCATTTACAAACCAAAGTTTATCACTAAAACACTTTTTCTTTCCCCTTTTTTGCAAGTGCTCACATAGAAAATACATTAAAAAAAATTATGCATATGTACATATGTACATGAATGCCTGATGATTCCTGTAAAGCTCTTCATACTACAGCATCAGCTTATTTGCCTGCACTTTTCACTGCCAATACCACATTCAGTGTATGTGTATGTATATACCAACCAACCAACCAAGCATTCACTTTCACTACACAAGACACTAACTATTCTCCACCCCATATCTACATATCTACATACATACATGCATGCTTACCATGTACTCTTTATCGACCAGTTGTTGTTTACTATTTAATTATTGTTGCCATTGGCCACTTACCGTATTTAGTTTGCAGTTCATCCGCCATTTTTTTATCATGATCATTTTGCACAACAATTCTCCAGACCTGAGCACCATCGTATCGTCTTAACTGTGCATTTAAGTCATCATCATCACTATCGTCATCCTTCAGATTTTGTGTTGTTTGTTGTATGTTGTTGTGTTGCATAAATGAGGCATTCACATAATTGAGCACACTATCCATGACATTTAGTGGTGCTGGTGCTGGTGCTGGTACTGGTGTATGCGCTGGCGCTGGGGCTGAGCTAGGGTCGACTACAGTTTCTGGTGGATTGTTAACACTGACGAGTGTTGCCATTTGTGTCGCCGTTAATGGTGCTTCATCATCTTCGATTTTTATTGGTGTAGGTTGTTGTTGTTGTTGGTTTGGCGCTTGTATGATTGTTGTTAGCAAGGAATTGATGGGCTGAATCGGTTCATTACTCAGGGATTCCGTAACAATTTCAGTTGGCGTTTCTGCAGGCTCATCGGCAAGTATTTGTTGGGGCAGTTGCTGCTCGGACTCTGGATGAGGTAGTTCTGTCTCTGGTTGAGACTGCTCCATCTCGGGTTGAGAGTATTCTGTCTCTTGTTGAGACTGTTCTGTCTCTGGTTGAGATTGTTCTGCTTCTGGTTGAGATTGTTCTTTCTCTGGTTGAGATAGTTCTGCTTCTGGTTGAGATAGCTCTTCTGCGGATTGCTGTTGTTGTTGAATAAGTGATTGCTCCTGTTGTATACCTTCCTCATTCTTCAACTCGTCTTCTTCTTCTTCTTGGACTAATGGCACATTTTCTTCCAAGTGTTCAACTACTTGCTCTGATGCTTCGGATTCTTGCTGTGGTTGTTGCAGCTCTTGAGCTTGAGTCTCGTGCATCTCTTCTACTGTCTCAACTTGTTCCTGCAGTTGTGGAACTTGCGTTTCTACAAACTGCTCTGATTCGGGCTCTACTTTAGCTTCTTCCAACTTCTCCTTAATCACTTCTTGCAGCTCTAGTTCTCCCTCAGTTTCCTCTGGTTTAGCTACTGCATCCGAGTTTTCTTCGACACTTTGCTGACTGTCACTTTGTATTACGCTTTCCATTATATCAGCTTGATTGACATCACTTTCGTGCAACAGCTCTTCACTATTTGCGACTTGCTGTACGGTTTCTAACTGCTGGCTGTTCATTTCAGTTTCATGTTGTTGTGCTACTTGTTCTTCTCCAATTTCTTCTGGTAAAGTTTCTGCCGGTTGAGTTTCATCAATAATTGGCTTATCTTGGTTGATATTTTCTTCTTGTTTGCTGTCTTCCGACGTCGGAATGGTTTCCTTGACATCCTCAGCTGCTGTGTCTTCGTGTTGGCTTTCTGCAGCGATTGCAACTTCTGGCTTACTTTCATCTGATTGATAGTTTGTTTCTTCTGCAGCATTGCTTTCCTCGGCTACAGCCGGCTGTTTGTTGTCTTCGACTATTTGCGCTTCTTCAGCTGTTTGGTCCTCGACAATAAGTTGCTTTTTATCTGCTACTTCCTCAGGTAAGGAACTTTCATCTTGAATTTGAGTTATCTCTGAAACATGACTTTCCTGGGAAGCTTCATGTTCCTCGGGATCTTGACCTACTTCCGGGGCTTGACTTTCCTCAGCAGCTTGAGTTTCTTCAGGTGCTTCAATATCTTCAGAAATTTGGCTTTCTTCCAGAATTTGACTGGCAGATGCCTGACTTTCCTCAAGAGCATGAATTTCACTAGAATCTAAGCTGCTCTCAAAGGTCTGACTTTGCTCAGGAGTCTGACTTTCTATAGAAGCTTTTGTTTCCTCATTAGTTTGATCTTCTTTTGCCACCTCTACAACTTCATTTTCTCCTGCATGTTGGTTCTCCTCTGCTGTTTCCATTTGCTGCTGTGGTTCAACTTCAGTCTGATTGTCACTTAGAATTTGTTTGTCATCCTCCGCTTGCTTTACTGGTGTGAAAGATTCTACATCTTCGGGTTGTGTCAACTCTTGAGCAACAGTTTCATCTACCTTACTTTCTTCAGTAATCATGTCAACAATGTCTGCTTCAATTTCTTTCTCAATAGCCTCGGCCATAGGGTTTATTTCTTGGGTTTCAGCGGCATCAACTTCAATTTCATGCTTTATTTCTTCAGGCTCCGACTCCATATTTGTCTGTTTATTTCCTTCAATATGATTCTCAGTGATTTCCAATGGCGAGGCATTATCTACTACACCAGGCAGCTCCGCGGCGATTTCACTTTCTTCATTGTGTGCATCCAAAACTACATTCTCGGGCTGATGATCTTCTGCTGCTTCAACATTTACATTGGTATCTTCTGGTTTGTTTGAAAATTCCTCAGCAATGTTATTCTCTAAAGATTCTCCTTTTAGCACGTCTCTAATTTCATTTTCTTCCACATTCACATTCTCCACTGTGCTATCGCTTAACGGTGAAGGCTCGATATTTTTTTCACCATTTTCGAGTTGAATATCTGCCGTTTCCACGGTATCTGCCACAAACTGGGGCATTAAGTCCGCCTCCATTGCAGACAAACTTTCCATAGCCTCCGATTTCTCATCGGGATCTTGAACAATTTCACCTTCTTCTTGGTCCACAATAACAGGTTTCTTGTCTTCTACTATTTCACTTGTTTGAACTGGCATGTCTTCGTTATTCAATGTCTCATCGGCTGATTGCATGTCTTCCATATCTTTTTCTACTTCCTGCACTGCTTCAGCTATCACATCAGCTATGGTTTCATGTTCCGCACTAACCGTTTCTATATTTGGCAAGGCCGCGCCATCAGATAGCTGTGCGTCTCCTAGTTTGTCAATAGATTCATTTGACACTTCGGCAATGGACACAGGTAACATTTCTTGCGGCTCATTGGGAATCTCCATAATTTTATCACTCGAGATTTGCGGCTCATCGTCGTGCACAGTATCAACATCCTGCTCACTATTCTCGTCCTGTTTTGCCACTTCTTCGTCAACAACCAATTCGGTTTGCTCCACCGGCACGGCGAGGAAGGACATATGCAACGGAGCATCGTTTGATTCAACCATCAACATATCCGATGCTTCATTTGCTTGTACCTCTTCGGCAGGACCATTCGAATCACCAACATTTTCGATTATATTCTTTTCAACACTTTCACGTTCGTTTGCACCACCGCCTGGCACTAGCAGATATGTATCCGTATTACCGCTAGTGGGCACAGCCTCCAATTCCATATCATCCACCACAATATCTGCATCATTAACCGTTTTCGTTTCTTGATTATTAGCCGAATTTAACTCATTTTGATCGACGCCCAAACGTTCGAGCGACATTGACGTCGCGCGTTCGGCGGCGAATGAAAGTAGTAGCAAAGCGACTGTATAGAACGCGAGGCGCGTTGAAAGCGGCGACGATGTTGTCGATTTTTGAAACATTTTAGATCTCCGGGCGCACATCTTTGCGAGATCTTACACTAAACACTAATGAGACAAGCCTCACTGTCGTAGTGGCGCTTTTATACCACGATTGGGAAAGTAATTCCATTTCATTTTCATTGTACACAGCGCGCTGTAGCTGCACGCAGTCGCTACCAATCGTAGTTGATACTTGTAATATGTTGTTGTTGTTGTTGTTTCCTATCACTACAATGGCTAATACTCTGCTGCTGCTGTTGCTGTTGCTTTTGTATGTATGTCGCATCTAGTCTCGGACGCCACTTTTCAAAACATTGCGGTTTCGCTGCCGACTGGCTAGCTAGCTAACTGGCTGACAAACGATACGCTCAGTCGATGGCGTTTTTACTCTTTGTTATTTTATGTTTCTTCTTCGTTCATTATTGTTGTTGATACTTAAAAATTTGTTTTGTTCCACACAACACAAATATCACTCGGTCATTTGGAGTCTCTAAATAGGAGAGCGTGTTGTGTATACAAATTGGGATGATAGGGATGGGATGGCGTGAATGATGAGTAGCAGGCGCTGTGAGCAGCTTGTGCGCATGCGCTCTGAAAACCGTTTAGCTTCAAAAAGCTTCATAGCGCTCGATTATAGACATATGTACATACATATTTTATAAGTTTATTTTTTGTGATGTTTGTAGTTTTCCTACAGAGAGTCAAGTCACAATAAACAGCGCTGTTTGGCGCGCTCTTGATTGATGAGCGCTTAAACTCGTTAAATTTTATGACTGTATTGAATTTCATGTTGCTGGCGCCACAGCTGAAAATAAGCGCTTTGTTTTCAATAAAAAAAACATTCTCTTCTGTCTTTTTGCGCTCTCTGCTTTGAATTCTGCTGCCGCGGCGGAGCTTCGTACTGATTTTAACAACGCGCGCATGCGCACTTGTACATCTACATATGTATGTATGCGCATTGAAAAAGCTATATATTTCTCTGAAAGCTATTTAATTTTATCAATTTATTTGTTTTTAATTCATAATAATCTTACTAACATACATACATACAAATCTTATGCGAATTCGGGTGCGAATTTCCGCTTCAATCATTAGCAGTTAATATGCTTTGGTTTTTTTTAATTTCTATTTTTGGTAAAAAGTTGTGTCAAGTCCGGAATTACATTCCGGATTTTTCGTATACATCCATGGGGAGTACTAAAAGGTAGAGGTCTCCATTGCTCTTGCATGGCTTTGACCAAACACCTCAAAATCGTTCATGATAACTGTTTTGTGCTTATGCCTGAGTATCTAGTTGTTGTTGTGCAATTTCAAAATGTTCCTCTTGGCTTACCCGTTCTACAAACTGCTCTGATTCGGGCTGGTTCACCTTAGCTGCTTCCAACTTCCATTTATTTACTTCTTGTAGCTCTGTTTCTGTTTCTGTTCCAGCCTCAGTTTCTTCTGGTTTAGCTACTGCCTCTAAGCCTTCTTCAACACTTTGCTCACTGTGATTGACATTACTTTCGTGCAGCAGCTCTTCATTATTTGCCACTTGCTGTTCGGTATCTATTTGCAGGCTGTTCGTTTTAGACTCATTTTGTTCTGCCACTTGTTCTTCTCTAATTTCTTCTGCCAAAGTACCTGCCGTTTGAGTTTCTGCACTAATTGGCTTATCGTGCTTGATATTTTCTTCTCGTTTACTGTCTTCCAACGTTGTTATGGTTTCCTTGACATCATCAGCTGCCATGTTTTGTTCGAAATTTTCATCAACGGTCACTGCCTTTTCCTCTCACATTTTCCTGTTGGCTTACCGCCCCGGCTGCACCTTCTGGCTTATTTTCACCTGATTGATGGTTTATTCCATCTGCAACATTGTTTTCCTTGCCTACATTTGCTGTCTTCGATTATTTGCGCTTCTTCAGCTATTTGGTCCTCGAAAAAAGGTTCTGCTACTTTCTCGAACAAAGAACTTTCATGTAGACTTTGATCTATTTTAGACACTTGACTTTCCTCAGAAGCTTGAATATCTTCAATAATTTGGTTTACTTCTGATTTTGATGATAACTGATTTGTGCCTATGCCTGGTATCTTGTCCCGTTTAATGCCATGTCTATCTACCGACACGAAAATTTTGTTAATGTATTGTGTGGAGACTCATTGAGCTTAAAATTCTGAGCAGTTCACAGGAGACGTGGTAGAGTTGGCTAGGTGAGCAATGCAGGTTATGGGTTTCAGTAGTGGTCGCCATCTGCCGTTGATATAAGGTTTTCTAACAAAGTTCCTCTTCCACCGATGCTTCACCGAATTTCTAACTTTTCTTCTTTAAGAATTGGTTAAAAAGTTAAATGAAAAGTAAATAAAAACTAAATTCTTGTGGAAAATTTCGGTAACCTATCATTCTGTTAAATGTTTAAGCACATAATTAGTTGAGCAAACATACATATTTTTGTGTCTATATACTATATATATCTTACTTCTCATTATTTACTTAACATTTTTGATTTTTCTTTACCATTTTTTGTAATTTACAAATATTCTCTTTTTTACTTAAATATCCATCGATTACATACTCGTATATACTCGTATGAATACTGTGTGCGAAATAAAAGCAGTTCAATGTTCAATTCATAATTCGTATTATTTTTTTTATATTTCTGATTTCTTGTTATAAACCAATCTGCTTGAGCCATTGATAAGGCACATTTTGGTTCCAGACATAACTCGAACAACTTCATGGATTTAATCAATTTCCTTTTTTTCCACTCACGATTGCGCGTTTTCGTTAGGCTGGAAAAGATAGAACGCCTACATCGACTGAAGGTCAGACAATGCTAAAGTAGACCTCTAGAGCTTCACATTCTTCTTTCGGTATATGTTCTGCACTCAGCTTATTCTGCCTTACTTAGATTTTTAATAGTAGTTTAGTAGTACGTCCTACCTTGGAAATGCTTTTTGCTAAGACATTTTAATTGCCTTAATTGCCACATGGCTGTCAAGCATAAATCTTATAGATTTCCCTGTGACACTTACTGATAAAATATCTTCACCTTCCGTCCTCTAGTTTTCGTTCGCATATCACCTATAAAAACCCAGATTTATAATTGATAGTTATTTAGTTAAGATACAGTAAAAATTATCACTTTGAGATATCACTGGAAAACAGAAACGTGAGTAATCAAAAGTAGAAAGCTAGAAACTGGAAATGGCTGAATAAGTTTTAGCATGGATAGACTTGTCTGAAAATAATCATATTCCTGGATCGATTTACTCTATGTTTGGAACTTGGGTGCTCAGATTAACATGAATATTTTAAAGGAGTGGACCAGAGTTCGATTTACTTGAAGTTTGTTTCTTTCCAGTACAAAATAACGATATTTAAAAAAAATACAAGAATCACTAAAATCATGCTTATGGTTCACATTTGACTGAATTTTTGTATGAAGTAATCTTTATGAATAGATAATAGATATACCAGGAATATTCGTACGTACGTTAGTAGCCTTTTACTTAGGTTAACATTTGTAATGGGTAAACTAACTTGACACTATTCAATGGAGCTTCACAGTAGGATAATGGGATACTTTTCCCATTAATTCTGTCGTCGCTGCGGGGACGAGGAAGAGGCAGAGTTTGGCGAGTATTGCCTCTGTCACTGCCCAGTCATAAGCATTATACGATATACAATAAATACCTAGAACATCACTACTTTAACTGCCTACCTGACGAAGCAACTTCTGGTAAAGGCAATACCGCATCATTCATAAGGCAAACGATATAATTTGCGCATCTGAAAAGGTGATAAGTACTCCACTGTGGTATTAATGCGTTTCTGAAGGACCCATTACGGACAGCATGAGAACTGCCAGAATCGACGAAAGAAATAAGATACTATTTCACCACTGCCGCCAGAAATTGTCTCTGTTTGTCAACATTTCTCAGCAAGATAATAATAAATTAAAAATATAATTGTCTCCCAAATATCATTCTTCTATAAATAATTTGTCAGTCTTTGGTAGTTCGCTGTTAACTGGCGGTGAAGTAATATCTTACTAATATCGTATAGAGGCGAAACAGTCTCTAAGGAATCCCGTAGGTAAAACACGCCCGGTCCTTCTCTTTAACAAACGTTCTCTGGTATAAATTTGTCACACAAGCATATAAGAGCGTAAAATTCGGTATTCTATCTACATACATACTAAGGAATGAATAACACATTACTGCTGAAAATTATCGGAATGGGAAGACATAAATAAATAAATAAATATTATACAGCCCCATACAACTGAACAGATATGAGGTTTTGATGAAAACTTCGTCAATAAAGCATTTAAGAGCATCAAATTTGATATCTATACACGTATGTATAAAAGTAAACATTGATTTGGAAAAATATCGAAATCCAAGGATTATTTTATATAGCCCAACGACCTGTTCAGATGTAAGGTTGTTGGTCAAAATGCTATGATGAACTAGAGATTGGTGCTGAAAATGATTGAAGTCGGTATACGACAACCGATCTGTTCAGATGTAAGGTTGTTGGTGAAAATGCTATGATGAACTTGAGATTGGTGCTGAAAATGATTGAAATCGGTATACTACAACCGATCTGATCCATATATGAGATTTTTGGAAAACATTTGGAATTCTGCCTACAAATGCTGATCTCCAATTGGTATTGAAAATGATTGAAATCGGAATACTAAAACGGATCTTTTCAGATAGGAGGTTTTTTGTCAAAATGCAGTCGATAAAGCATCGAAGAGCGTAAAATCTAGTATTTTGCCGGGTTAAGCCTACAAGCGTTGAATTCTGAATTGAGTTAATATGGGGAATGCCAGGCTTAACTTTGTTAAATTTTTGGTAATAATTTAGGCAAACAATTATATTTTTGGCAAAAAGTTAGCGACACGGAAACTCTACATCAATCAGGTTAATAACACTTCTACATATGTAGAGAAAATGTGCATAATCTTAGATAGACGCTCTAACGCGTGGTGGAAAAGTGTTTATACTTGCGAGTTTAATCTACCCGAATAGAATAAATCAGAGTAGAAATGTAGTAT